GAAGAGCGTTTTCTATACAATATTAAAAAAATACTTAATGCAAAGAACTTCATTGCACGTACCGCCTCCCATTCTATTCATTCCGCCAAATCCTGGACCATCTATCCCCATACCTTTAAATCAAAAAGACAAACACCATTTAGAAGACAGATAACATCCTAACAGAGTTAAAAAAAGCAAGAACAGTTAACATCTCAAAAGCACACTACACAAGGCTTGCTTTGTCAAGAGTATGTCATTCTTCCAAACACAGAAATAACAATTTTAAACTTAAAACTCTGTAAAACTTAAAAATGAAGAACACAGATTTACCTCCTGGACCCATGCTCCCCATTCCACCACCCATGCTCAATTGTGTTGCACTAATGGGCTGTCCACCTGGTCCAAGTCCCATGCCAATGCCACCAAGACCACCTTGAAAATAAAATTAAGTATCACCAGAATAAAGATTTTCTTCGGTATCATAAAGAGACCACAGTAAGCAAAAGTACAACTAAACTGTTCCAAGACTCTACATCAACATATACTAAGTGCAAGGAGTAGAAAACAGCGCATACTCACGAGGTAATTGTGAAGTTTTGCTGTCTGCAACACGGAAATCTTCATGAGGAATTGATTTGTCATCCTGATAAAAAACAAGGATGTTATGCTATGATCCTTTCAATGTTTTGGCAGATGTTTATGGTAGAAAGAAACGTAAGCAACTTACCATTTTTACATGCATGGGTCTATCAAACAGGAATTGTCCATTGAACATAGCTGAAGAAAGGCAAGTGAAGGAATCTAACTATAGAAGACAATTTAACTACTTCAGATGAATCACTGTAGTAACTTATTTTATTTCTGTACCACTTCTAGGAGTCTTATCTTTCCTTAACTAATCTTTAGAATATCAATTCAAAGGCCAGAAAAGACTATACAAGCTGTTAGGTATATAAAAGTTAGTTCACACATGTCACATTCCCACGTATTTTAATCTTCTTCAACATTATCAGTAACACCTTTTCAGACCCCAGCAGTAAACTCAGTCACTATTAAAAATGTAATCTGCATAGTATTACACTCTAGTCCCTACATACCAGCTACAAGGCAAACAAACACCATCTTCAGAACTACGCTAATCAGAAGCAATTACAGACTAATACATGTCTGATCAATTATTTTTCAAAACCAAGGATACATATTGCTTGAACAGCTTCAATTGCTTGTTCAAAGGTAACTGTTCCCATTCCTCGACTCTTGCCATCTTTATCTTCTTTGATGTCTGCACGCTTTACAGTTCCAGCAATGCTGAATACCTCCTTCAGTTTCTTCCAACCAACTTTAAAGTCAAGCTTACACACAGAAATACATTAGTGATTTCAGTGCACATTTCTGTTTTGCCATTACATTTGGAAGAGATTTTCTGCACCGTTGCAGCTCTTCAGCTTCACAAAATGCTTGATATATGTCAAATCGCCAGGATTTTGTAATATATACACACTGCAACCAAGTCCAAAAATGTCAACTAAAAGCAACAATTTATACTACATACACTTATTTCACTTTAATTAATACACTGACATTGAGAAATGGATGGGTTCTTGTCAAGAGCAGCTGGACTCCCACAATTACCCCTTGCAGACATAGTAGTCTTTTGTGCAAATAAAGAACTTACGAAGTTCCAACAAATATAACAGTTTAAGTTAGTCTACCATAACTAGCAAGATAAACTGAAGGGTATATTTAATTAAAAAAGAAATGCAATTCTAAATAGAAAGCAAAAAGATGCAGAAGATATTTTTTTGAATCAACAGATGACTGTGCAATAATTAAAAGTGCATGTTAGCCTCAAGAGTTTAATGTATCTTTCATGTCCAAAATCTGACTACATATGCAGGATTTTTAGTTGAATATACTAATTGTGAACTAATTTCTAATTTCTTCTTTATATTAAAATTGAACTGTGCAGGAAATATAACAAGTTTTACAAAGATCAAATAGTACAGTTATAAAATACAGTTTTAAACTTACATTAGCAACAAAGATAGTGGACCCAAGTCTGCCTGCCTGCAAGTTACTGATAACCTCAGGAGGAATGTTTGGATTATTGAGAATAGAAGGTGGTAAATTCATTATTCCAGGTGCCACATCAGGTCCATGTCCTCCTGGAAACTGTCCTCCTACACGCTGTAATGCCCTACGAGCATGTTCACCTTCAGGATCCTGAAACAGGGGCAAAAATAAAACCAACTTAATCGTCAACAAGAGGACTGACAACAAACAAAAAGGTACTATTTGAAATTCTACATAAACCCATCAAAATTATCAACTAATATCCTTGTCCATGTCAGAGGGATCAAGAACTGAATTAGCATGGAGACCTAATTCCCTCACCTCTAGAGGTGGGTCCTTTCAGATGAGGGTTGAGGCATATTGGCAAAGCACTTGTTGAAGAAGCGTGCACTGCCACTTCACATGCTGTACCTAGCCTATGGACAAGTAGAAAAGATTTCAATCTAAAGGACTGTCAGTCTAGCACCTTCTTCCAAGAACTGAATTAATTTAATTAGGTTTTTTTTATTTATTTATTAATACCATTATTAAAGTTGTAACAGGACAAAAAGAACTGCATCAGACACCGTCATATACTACAACACTACAATAGAAATGTTGACATTAATTCCTCTTTCCAGTCAGCACAAGTTCTCTACTTCCAGCCTGAGTTTCACACATACGTAATAGTCTGATACTCAGCTCATTATGCATCGTATTTTGAAGCAAGTAAGCAATGTAAACATAGAATCATTTAGATTGGAAAAGACCTGATGCCACTAAGGTAGGAATATGAAATTAAAGTTGTTCTAAAGAAAACTAGTATTAGATTACTTTTACTTTAGGATAGGTTTTTTGTCAGTTCACTTGGCATAGTGTCAAGACCTTCTGGAAGCCAACAGGCACTTTAGCCCATTAAGAAAATGTCATAAAAAAATTAAACTGGAAATTACACAGCAAAGATGCTCAAAACATGGTATTGTCATCTCAGTAGTTATAGTATCTTCACTATTTCAAATTAAAAACAGCAGCAATAACCATACCTCTTTAATATTCAGGGGTCTTCCACTAAGATCATATTTGTTCATAGTTTCTAACGCTTTCTTAACAAATTCTTCATCTTTGAATTCAACCACACTTAGAGGGAACAAAACATTTAGAGTATTAAAATAAAGTTTAAAACGTCAAAATTAACAGAATGTTTGGATAGTAGTGTGTTTCTACACACATTGAAAAAGAAACTTACCCACAACCCTACATCCATGATGATTTGTCATCATATGTAAAGAGAAGAAAAGAAAATAAAAAGTCATTAGTTAGCACATCTGATAGCGCATGTAAGATTCCAGTTAAAGATCCCAGCTCACTGTTAAATAACTATTCAAGTTATTTTCAGCTTCAAAATCCGTAACACACAATCTTTACTGGTAGCCAATCTGAATTTCTCCTACTTTCTCAACATACATACCTTTCAAATGCAAAAGAATACATTATCATTTATTCTATTTGAGCCAAACCAGAATTGGAAAAATGCCACACAGATCCATGTAAGGACAACTGGGGAGAGCAGGTGGGGGGAAAAGGGTGGAAAGAAAAAAAACCCAAAAGCATAAGCAAAAACCAATCAAGACACTCATCATGTTATTAAAGGCTGCCCATTGACTACAAAATTCGAATCTACCTACATCAAGTATACCAGTACAATGAACAAGGAGTCTGCACACCTCTTCAGTATTACTAGCATAATTGAGAAATTACTTTGTAAGAAAATAACCTTATTGACTGCACCAGAATCCTTCTAATAAAGCAAAGAGTTGAGGATTGCTTTAAGTAAAGCAAAGCTGACAGCATGTCTTAGTTTTAACAAGCATTAAAGAAAGTCATTTACAACAATTGATATGCATTTCTCACGTTCTCACTGCAGGTTCAGAGCTAGTATTGGCCAAACTTTGCCTATTTTTAAGACAAAGGAGCTTTAACAATCTTCACTCTTAGTGCCTCATTGCTGGCACTCTGCTGGCTACCAACCATCTCCATCCATTTAGTTTTAAGAAAGCAAATACATTAAACCAGTATTTAGAGTACCAACCCTGCAAAACTGTCAAATAAGGCACTTCAAACAGTATAATCTTAGCTAACATTTTATACTCATTGGCCCAAAGAAGAGAATACTATGCTAACAAAATTTAAATAAAATCAGTGGTTTATTGAACATCCTTTATATGAAACAGATTTGTACCAAAACAAAGATGTTTGCTAAAAAGAATTAAGTAAATGCCATTTGTTAACATTTACAGAAGTATGTTGTCCTTCACAGCCAGCTAGTTTGAGTTGCATGAAAGGGTCAAGACTACTTCTAATACAGAATCCTCAAGGCTATCTTAATGAAAATCAGTGTAAAAATGAAACTTACTTTCCAATAACTGGTATAGGTATTATACAAAAATAAAACTGCTGAGGAACTTTTAAACCTCTAGCAGATTGTTGCCCACGGCACTTACCCTTGATTTTCCTTCAGCATCCTTAAACAGCTCCACGTATGTAACCTCACCAACTACATAAGACATACAAAGGGAAAATACCAAGAGACAATGCATTTAAACACCAGTATCTTTCTTTACTGTGCCCCTGTGCACAACTCTACAGAAAAGCACCTATTATTCACCAACAATCAAAACCAGACCAACGTACCTCCTGTCAATGGCTATATAATTTAGCTAATTTTCAGAAATATGCAGCAGCCACATTCTCAAAAGCTAAGAACAAACAACTATATTTAACCTAATTCATACTACAGATCATATTTTGGCCAGTATGATATAGTTGGTGAACAAATTCAGATATACAGTCCCTTAACCTAACAAATGAAACGTCAACGTTCACTGGAAAGTGTTACATATATCATCCTACTCACAACACCTGTTTTAAGGTGACTTTCTACCTGAATGTCTTCAATCATAAGTTTGCCTTCAATAATAACCAAATTTACACATCAAATATTTCACAGCAAGCCACTCACTTTCTAAAGTAGGAAGTTTCAGTAAATAAACCAATCAAATAGTCACGTCACCTTACAACAGATAAACCAGCAGTTACGGTGTGGGGGAGGGGAGGTTGGCATTTTTCACAGCCTAAAAGCCAAGTATGCTTTGCATTACTTTTGAAGAATCAATTTTTTCAAGGAAAACACAAAACTAACTTTTGACATAATTCATATATTAGCATTATTTTACCCCAAACTTAAAATAAAACATTTGGGGTAGTAAGATTACTCTCTCAGAACTGCAACAATAGTAACAAGCTTTTAATACAAATCTCCAAACAGTCATGGCAGTAGTGACAATGCAGACAAAGTTAATTCCACAGCCAGATTCCACCAAAGAAATACAAAACAACTTTTGAAAGACATCCTTTATTATTCATGTTAACACACTAAATGTGTTGCTTAAATACAACAGCCCTTAAAAAAATCTACAAAGACTACAACTAGACAAAACACAATCTCTTTAAGAAGTCATGAGGTCATGCATATACTCTCTACTGTCACACTAGAATGGCAGAAGATTGTAAGCACTTCATTTACCCATCCTACCCTGCAATGCAATTGTCTCAGATGAAAGAGTGGGAAGGGAGATAGATGTACCAAGTAAAGGCCAACAAAAAAGAAAAAGTCAAATCAAATCTGTGTGGCTCAAAGGACATATACATTGTATTTAAATTCTACCCCTTTCTATGTGAAGTGTATTATAAGGAATAAGTTACCTTTCTCTCTCATAAGATCTTTAATAGCTTGCCACTTCATGTCATATGGGATGTTGCTAATAAAAACTCTATTGCGATTAATAGTCTTCTTCTCTCCAGTGCCTGCATTCTTGTCCTTTGAATAGGGGTGGAATCTATTCTTGCTTCCAAGAGAAGGGATTGCCTTTGGTTTTGCAACGTACTTCTCTTTCACAGGTACTTTCTCTTCTTTTGCTGTCTCATCATTATCCCTACATTAACACAAACAAAAAACAACAAAAAATGTTAGTCTTGTGTTGGATCAATAAACAATTATACCTCCTATATATATAGCTGTATACCTCCTACGCTATTAGGACTTCTAGGATGTCAAATGCTGCTTTTCAAATTAGGAAAAATAAATTCATGTTACCGGTCTAATTCCAAAATACACTGCTTTATCTAGAACAAAAAATAATTTTATAATAGATTTATTCACTACTGTAAGTAAAGAAAGCACCTCTTGCAACTTCAGCTGCATTCCATTTCAATTATGTCTGTCAAGACTCAGGAAGATGGTACTATGAAACTACTACAAATACCAACATACAACTCAGTTGAAAAATAAGCTACAGCATCCATGCTTTGGTGCTTCAATAATTTTCACATCAGACTTGACTAAGTTACACAATATTCACCATAGAAGTGAGAGCTGAAACAGTCTAATGTATGTAATAGCTTGGTATACTTCATTCAGTGTAGAAATAATATAGAAATATCAACTCTAATAGGTTGTAAATCAATTTACATTTTATTTACCACATAAATAATTTTTATTTACAATTTGTGCCAGACTGCTTTTAGACAGAAATTACAATTCAATTAAGAACAACAAATGCTCTTTCACTTTCATTGTTTAACACTACTAGAATTTGCTAAATGCATAGGAAATAGGTGTGTTAAGACATGCTCTGAATCTAAGGCTAATTAATTCACCAGGTATTATCCACTAGAAACAACACCAAAATAGACTTCTGGCCCTCAGTCTTTCAAAAATTTAGTAATAGCAGCTGCCTCCTTTTAAAATCTTTTTATTTTTAGATGAAAAGGCAGGAAAATTTGCTTTCTTTCTTTTAAAGTAGCCCAAATCTCAACATTGATAAAATTATACACTTTTAACAGAGTTAGATGAAATATCCATAACTCTTCAGCACCCCGATAGTGTTACTATCGCAAGGTGATTTAGCATGCTAACAGAGGATCAAGATGCCTGAATTGTTATTTTAAAAAAAAGTGAACTGAAAGAATCTAGTGATAGAGTCACACAAATATGATCCACTAAATAGATGCTACTTAGAGACATACACATCAATGTCTAGTTCAAATCTCATCGCAGTTAATGAGAAACTTAAAAAGTACTTTTACACAAAGGTATATTTTAAAAAGCCAGCTTTAGCAACTCGAGTTAGAACAATTACAAGGAAATGTCCTACAGGTCTGTCAAAAGTGATTGATTGTGAACCCTCCTTCTTAAATTACATCACTGTCTTTACCATTTTTCCCACATTTCAGAAGGCTTAATTTTTATCTCATTTTGACACTTTGGAAAGTTTCTGGTGTAAAACTAACTAAAACGGGCATTTCAGTTTTACAACCACAACATATGGCAAGATCATGGATTTTGATTAACTGAAATTAGTATTTTCAGCTCTCTGCATAGTTATTAACAAAACAGTGAGTAAGTAGCAGTCTTGCACTCAAGAGCACATGCAAGTAAGTAGCCTTTCATGAAGCTAAAGGTATTATCCAATCAAGCTCGGGCACTTTTCCGGGATGAATCAATTCAGATACGTCCACATTTCTCCCATGACTTTTTCCCAAATTTTGAAGTACTCCTATGACACGAACTTCACAGTCCTTGTGTTTACAAGTGGATTAGAAGAGGATTAACAACTGCAAAATGCGTGGACACTCCTCTGGGCGAAGTATTTGTAAAATTTAAAACGTTCAAAGTCAACAACACATTATCTGGTTCAAGCATTCTCCAGCTTCCCTCTGCATCACTCCTCCTCCACACCATCCTGTCTGTTGTGGCAATACAATTCCTGTGTTGCTGTGTAATAAAGTGAAATGGGGGAAACAATGCAGGGA